TCCAGAGTAGCTGGGGCTACAGGCATGGCCGCCATGCCCATCTGGTGGGATACTGTCCTCTCATTGAAATGCTAATCTCACTAAATCCACTGATTTAAATGCCAATCTCATCCAGAAACACCCCCACAGACAAACCCAGAAATAATGTTTAATCTTGGCACTCTGTGGGCCACCCAGTCAAGTTAACACATACAATTAACCATCACAGTCCATGAGACCAAAATTATTTTCATATCCTAAGACTTAATTTGGCCTTTTCACTATGACTTTTATAGTGATTGTGCAAAAGCAATGGATAGTAAAACTGCCGATGTCTTAGTAAAAATCAAGGCAGTGGTGGCACTAAAATGTACAGTATTTGTCCCTGCCACACACTTGGAGTTAATCAAAACCAGTTTCACTTGTTGATGAGGCACTAAAAAATATTTATTAAATTTCAACTCTTGACTACACATCTTTTTAATATTCCATATGATAGAATGAGAAATATATATAAAACACTTCTGCTGTGTACCAAAGTTCAGTGTCGAGAAAAAGCAGTGAGTTGAGAGTTGAACCAGCTTGCTAATACACCATTTTTACTTGACAGGCAAACTATGGTTATTCAGATTCGAGCGTTTGACATAATTTTGAAAAGGAACAAAGTGAGAATGTTATTTCAAGAAAAATAACTAATTTTATTTGTTGCCAATACAAAATTTTAGTTCTTGAGCAAAAATTAGAATTTTAGAAACCCTATAATGGCATTCAAGAGCTTGACAGCTTCCCAAATAATGACTTTTTTGATGAGATGGGTGGTGATATTAAAGAATGAGATGTTTTGATAATGTATTATATATTAACAACTGGAAGATATACATAGCTCAACGAGCCAGTATTTTCTAAATGATCAATGAGTGATGTTACAAAATCATGCACTGATAAAAGATACATTTAAAGTGAAAGTTAGACCAATGGATGTCACTGGAATGCTTAGAGAAAGTTCACTGATACATAGTTTTAGATTCCACATTACAACTAACCTTCAAGAAAGCACCATTTATTGAGTTTTTGGTGTAATATTGTGGAATATCTATAATTATCTGAAAAAGCTATTAAAATATTTATCTCTTTCACAATTGCATGTTTATTTGAAGCCAGATTTTCTTCATGTACTTCAAGCAAAAAATCATATAGCAACAAATTGAATGTAGAAACAGATATGAGAATCTATCAGTTCGCAGTTAAGCCAGACATTAAAGAGATTTGTAAAAATATAAAATGATATTTTCACTACACTTGTAAAAGTTATAATTATTTTGTCATATTCTTTAATGAGATACATTATTTTTAAAGGAATTAGTAAATATTTAAAGACTTTTAAAAATTCTAATATGATAAGTATCAGTAGATATAACACATATAAATAAAATCCATTTAGGATATCAATTTTTAAGAGTATAAAGGAGTTCAGGGAGACCTTCCCCCCAAAAATTTTCATAACTGCTGATCTAGGAAG